TCCTCTACAACGTTATGACACCCCATACAGTGTCTTCACCAACGGTCTGACACGACCATACAGTGTCTCCTATCCTTTTTTATTTTTATGTATTTTCTTGTTTTGTTCAAAGACGATGTTCTCTCCGCTGTCCAGAAGTATGAGCAGTATCACGGCTACTATGATGCCGAGAGAGAATGAGATGTTATGAAGATATGATGAGGAGGTAGGTATGTAGTAGACAATTCTAGCGGACTAGGTTGAGGTCCGGCGGGCGGCCAAGGCGAGGTTGCCGCCCGCCGGTGAAGCGAAAAAATATTAAATTCTTAACCTTGCTCTGATACCATGTAAGAATTTATGTATTATTGATTGATGTCTTGATTGATAGATTACAAGATTCATTTAATTACAATTCCTATACAATCTATATATAGAAGAAAATGTGGTAGTAGGTGTAGTGGAGGTGATAGTGGGTTAGGTGAAGTGGAGTGTGTAGTGGAGTAGGTGAAGGTAAAGATGGGAAATTCTAACAAATATGCTCTTTGATGCACATACTACCGATGAATATAGTAGGTACGATATACTCTATATGAATTTAAGCAATCAGTATCTTGGTTGTATTGATGCCCTGTTGACAAGTGAAATCATTGAAGGACATGTACTCTACTCATGAATAAGTAATAGCATATTCATCTTTTTGGGTTACTTTTAAAATATCTGGAAAATTTGATGACATAATTTTTTGAATGTTGAGTTCTTACTTATGCTTGCATGTTTGTGCCAATATTTTAATATTTTCTCAACATATTTAACTGTTTACTCATTCACTGGTTCTGCGATTCTTGCTTGTAGGATGGGGGTTCTGGTGAGGACTTCAACAAGGACTCCATTGAGCGTGATGAAAGGCGTCTTACTGAACTAGGTCGTAGGACCATTGAAATATTTGTCCTAGCCCATATATTCAGGTAACCCGTCAATCTAATACTATGGAGATAAATGTAGTTAGATAGCAGTTGATTACTTTGATTGTGCTTCTTCAAGCTTTATAATCTTGGAAATTATAAATGCAAATTACACTCACTTCCTTTAAGGTTTATATATACACACACACACTAGCTAGCAGTACATTCGTTTACTTTTTTGATAATATTACTGCAGTCTCGTTGGTTACTAATCACATACCCCAGATCAGAGTAGGAAGGTGCCAAGTTCAGTAAAGTTCTTTTCTTATTTAACATGGGCGAAAAACTATTTGTCCTTGTCCTTTTCCCCAAAAAGTGATAAAGCTGGTGCAAAAATCTTATTTCCATTTCAACTAACATTTAAGTTCTCTCTAGATAAATGATAACTTCATAGCGTTTTATTTTTTAATTTGAGTGTCAACTGATTGAGGGAGGTATGACTCTTGGTCTTTCAAATTGTCAAAATATGATTCTTCTTCTACTTTGAGAAGTGGATAATTTGTGTTTTTTGGTGAGAGGTAACTACATTAATTGAGGTAAATTGGTGTTTTAGATGATGCCTTTCTTTTTTTGTTTTTTGTTGTTTTTTTTTTTCATTTTTTGGAATGATCAAACATTTTTGTGGTTTTCCATATTTTTCCTCATTTGTTTGTAGTGAAGTATTATGTGTCTGAACAAGAGAGAGAAAAAAAGAATGTTATGTGAATGAAGTGGCGTTTTTAATTAAGTTAGTGATTGTTTGATATTTACATGTTAAAACTTAACTATATCCTATGGCTGATACTATAACACTATTGGAATCTTGGGACTGATTTGTTATTGTATGATTTTAGTGTTGCAATCTTCTATGTGGTGAATTAATCCAATCTCTTTTCAATTTTCCATTTATATATACTCTTATTTTCCCTTATTGTTTTAGCAGTAAAATTGAAGTTGCATATAACGAGGCTGTTGCTTTGAAAAGGCAAGAGTAGCTCATGCGTGAAGAGGCAGCCTGGCTGGCTGAAACTGAGCAGAAAGCAAAACGCGGTGCTGCTGTAAAGGAAAAGAAGTTAAAGAAAAAGAAGTTGAACCATGGTGTCCTTCATGTCGATGGTGGTACAACCTAAGAAACACGGTCTTTTTGGATAAAGATAGATGGAACGCCAACCTTTAGAGTGCAAAAGATACCCGTGAACGTACTCTCCAACAAGCTATCATAAAAATAACCTATCTGTTACCAAGAAACAAGAACTTTACCGTGTGTTATTATGTTTGAGAATGACTCAAAACATTGCAGTAAGATTTTGTACTTGCCTCTTTTCCCCATTTTGTGCCATTTTCAAATGTGCAAGAAGCCAAGTTCCTTGCTTCTTCTGAAACAATATCTGATAGCAGTCCTATCCCATTGGCTTCTTGTTCATTTATACCCTTCAATGAAGCAATGAATTTGCTAGACAAACCAAAATTACTTTCAGGTTCATTAAGGAAAACATCTGAAAAAAGAAAAAAGTATTGAAAAGTGAGTCTTGTATTATATTAATTGTTCATCTGTTAATGATCATATATATAGTAATGCTTCTCAAACTAAATACACATACCCTCATGATTAGGACCCCCAAATAATGTCTCTCTCTTTAAGTAGTAGCCTGTACCTGAACATGCAGGACCTCTTAACCCATCCATGCCTTGCCACATTGTCAGAAATTAAGTTTGAGTATTAATCGTTTTGCTATCAAAAAATTACAAAACTTAAAGGCTTGCTTTGGCTCCAGGCTATATTGTAATGGAAATACTAGGGAAAGTAATTGTTGAGTATCCACACCATGTGAAGTTGGCTTTCCAAGTTCATAATCAGTGTTGGAAAAATGACATTTTGCGGCATTTAAAAAGGGCCGCAATAGGTACAATAAACGTCGTTAATTCTTTTCGTGACGTTTAGTACCAAACGCCGACACTGCGGCCGTAGCTGTAGCTTTATGGCGTTTAAAAAACATCGCTATATAACTATAGGCAGCGTTTTTAAACACCGTCAAATGTCCCACTCTAATGGTATTATGACGTCACTATGGTTTTAGCGACGTTTTTAAAATGCCGTCATTTCTTTTTTAAAAACTGACCATTAACTTTTAGAGTTTAGGTGGCGTTTTTTAAGAACGCCGTGATATCTTTTTTTTTTTTTATAAAAAAAATTATGCTAATTTTATGTGATTTAAAACAAATACCTGTAATAAAACTAAATAGCATTAATATGAAATAATAACTCTCATTCAAATAGTAAATTCAACATTAATTTACTTTCCCATTCAATTTAATATCCAATCATCATTACCCATAAAATAACATATCCACAAATGATGTTTTAACATTACCCTCAAAATAACATATATAAAAATTGAATTCACAATTCTCAATCAAAAAATCAAATAGTTCATAAGCAAAGGACCTGATCCTTGTTGTATTTAACAATAATGTTTTTATGTGTGTAAAGCACATGCTTCTTGTTATCACTATTCTTGTCAGGATGCAGCTCACCAACAAAACCTATAACATCAAGATGATAACATAAAGCATTGAATTAAACATCTGAAAAGACTCAAAAATTAAAAATAAGTTTAATAATACAAGAAGAACAATACAAAAAAAAGTGAGAAATTAAAAACAATGTGAGTTAGTTCCAAAGATATGTTTGAAAATGTCAAAAGAAACTTCTTGTCAATCAAAAACAACAATATAAAAAAGCTTGAGCAAACATGGTGAATAATGTGGGCGCATTATAACTCAGTAACATGGAAGTCAAGGATGCTTGGCGTGTTCCAAAAATGCATTTTGTCACATGAAAATAATAGTTTTGCATTCTGGCAATAAAAAGAAAATTTATCAGGAATGAGCAAGGGACAACATCCAACTGGGAAGATCACCCAATATATGCCACCACATGTTTGTGTAAATCCACCTTCATCAGCATTAACTTGGATTGCCTCCACCTGCATATCAAAGTATATGAGAAAACGTTTAAATGATGCAAACCCGCAAGAAAACCAACACTTCTTCAACAGGAGGATCTCAAAAAAATTGCAAATGCTACTCCAATATTCACCAAGAAAACCAACACTTCTTCAACAAGTTCCTCTAAAGTGTATGTCACGACCCAAACCCGCCCCTAAAAGTTTGGTCCATGACTGGCCTGTACATAGGCCTCAAAACAAAATTTTAAAGTAATATTTAACCATATATGAGGCCTTAGGCTGAAGCAATATCAATAAAAGACAACATCCATTGAGCTCGTGCATACATAATGGTTTAATTGGATTTAAGCATTTAAATACATTCCAAATATACATATACAACCACAGAATTTATATAGATCTCACACACACTGACATAAGACTTACTAATTTATATGACTCCCAACAATAAATTAAGGCCTCCACGTGAATACATACCCCAGGTGTCTTGGCAGACAGGCAAACCTTGGTACAATTCTAGTGTCAATCCCCGATGACTCACCTATAGAAAAATACATAAAACAAAATAAGCAAAGCTCAGTGAATAATAGCACTCAAACAATTTAATGATTAAACTTGAGTTGTAATATTTATAACGTATATAAGTGCAAAGGTCATATAATTACTCTTGTCTTGTAAACATTTTCAGAACGGCCTTGGCCCCAGTCTTTAAACATAATGGCTTTAAGCCCTTGAACAGAGTGACATTAAGCCCTTAAACAGAATGGCAATTAGCCCTTAAATAGATCGGCATTAAGCCCTCTTCATGTATGTATGAACTCAAGAGGTGGCTCGCACGGATTCTAGAGGTGACTCGCATTGCAGCACTTAGTTTCGTGCAACACTTTGTTTCATACAACAGATCATACAAAATGGCCATAGGCCCAGATGTCACAGATTAGCCATAGGCCTCACATATGTCACAGAATGGCCATAAGCCTCATAACTTTCTCAAAACGGCCATAGGCCTCATAACTTTCACAGAACGGCCATAGGCCTCCGTTCACATATGTATGGACTCAAGAGGTGGCTCGTACGGATTCTAGAGGTGGCTCACATTGCAGCACTTTGTTCCGTACAGCACTTTGTTCCATACCAGAAATCAATTATATCATTTCATAGCATAAACGAAACGAATAAACAGAACAGAATAATCCCAGACTCATAGGAGTACCGTTCACAATGGTTCACATAAATTTCCCTATGGTTTACCACAAGTTGACATAGTTGTCTTACATATAACAAATCATTAGTAATAACTATTAACATATAAAGCAGACCATAATTCTATCCGATTAGCCATTTCGATGATTCATTATAAGATATTCAAAACATCATGTTCTTAGTAGGTGGGGCTTATGTTCACAATTGCTTCCTGTCGAGAATTTGTACAGTATTAATTCATGCAAAGACATGGGCAATCTACAGTTCCCAATCATTCATAACAGTTAACGTAATTAATTTGCGAAGAATAGAGTGTTAATAATAAGAATTACTAACGGAAGGTCAATGTACAACTACAGTACTATTACTCACAATGGTAGGTCTCTGATAGCGGTGGAACGATGTCCTCGTCTTGACCTACAAGTACAGTGCACAACACATAATATGAGATTATACTCGATCCTTTACTTATTCTCTTTGATCATGCAATCAATTAGCCATGGTGGTACCAAGCTCGTTTTTCCTTAATAAGTTATACTCCATGTCTCAGAAAATAGGAGAAATCAATGGGAAATGGTTTAGGTGAAGAAATGGTATAAAATTGGTTGACAGAAAGTGAACAGTCGTCACTAATTTGGACATAACTATTTCTGTATTCAGAATTTGGGAGTGAGACCACTTCCATTGGAAACTAGACTTCCGGGGCTTGATTTTAGGCTCAAGAATCACTCAAAACGGAGTCCCGAGGCAAAAGATATGCTTATTCAAAGTTGGCTGGACAAAGCTGTCTCCCGCACGTGCGGGAAACAAAGCCGCACGTGCGGCTCTGGACAGTGTGCAGTCCGAAAATGGCTCTGTTTGCTCCAACACTTGGTTTTTCCATTTTTAAGCTTGGTTATTAACATAAATCACTCAAAACATAATAAACTAACATCAACCAAGTGTAATTTCATTTCAAACAATTCAATCTTTGTCTCAAAGTTCAAAATTAATGCTTAATCTTTCATCATCTTCAAGGTTCTTAAAAACACAACCCACAACCCACAACCCACAAATTCACATGATTCTTGCATAATCTAAAGTTTATTTCATGATATCCATGAGCTTGAGCTCCACTCATAAACAAAATTAGAGAACTCAATTTCTAATTCCTCAAATTAGCTCAAGTAAATACATAGATAAACCTTAACCCCAAATGGGTTTAAATCTTCCAAGATCTTTATGATTTTGCCAAATTGATACTTTAAACACAAGATTTCAAGATAGATTATCATACCTAACTCAATCCTTGTCTATCTCTTAGCTCTCTTTAATTCCTCTAAGTCCCATGGGCGATCTTCTTTCTTTTCCTTCAATTCTCTTCAATCATCTTCAAAGCCTCCATGGATGTTGGGAAAGTTGTCTCTCTTCCCTCTCTCCCTTTCACGGTTTCCTCTCTCTCTCTCTAGATATTTTGGTGTTTTTGACTCCAAAAAGATGAGTTCACCACTTATATAACTCACACACACCTATATATTTAATTAGATAAGCTTTATCACAAATAAGGAGGGCTAAACACGCCCTTACGAATCGCACAAAATTAAATTTCAATTAAACTTTCCAAATGACTAAAAATTGTGCTAATCATAAATATGTCCCATGTTCTGGTTTCTGAAGCCTTTAAGGTCTTCAATTTGCAGTATAAAGTTAACCACTCAAACTCTCTCTCTCTTTAGATATTTTGGTGTTTTTGACTCCAAAAAGATGAGTTCACCACTTATATAACTCACACACACCTATATATTTAATTAGATAAGCTTTATCACAAATAAGGAGGGCTAAACACGCCCTTACGAATCGCACAAAATTAAATTTCAATTAAACTTTCCAAATGACTCTAAAAATTGTGTTAATCATAAATATGTCCCCTGTTCTGCTTTCTGAAGCCTCTAAGGTTTTCAATTTGCAGTATAAAGTTAACCACTCAAATGTGCATTAACGAATCAGACAAATTAGATTTCTAATTAATTTTTCCAAATAGTTCTAAAAATTTAACATACCCAAGTACTCAATTTTGATTTCTGAACCCATAAAGGTCGGTAATTTCAATTTTAAGTCCGTAACTCAACAGATAAAGCTTTAATTCCAATAGATATAATTAAATTAAAACACATCATTTCATAATTAAATAAAGATGATTTCTTATACGCATTTTGGGGTTGTTACAGTGTAGGAGCAAGTTATTAATGAAAATTGGATTGTTCAAGGTTTCTATGTTTGGTTGCATAATCATTTTTATCATTAAAGAAGACAACTCAGAGTTTCTGGGACATCATCTTTTAATCATAGACCCTTGCATATCAGTGTATTGCCCTATCCAGACATAGATGAGATCCATTTACAATATCAAAGTTATGTCTTGAAAATATTCCATTTTTGGAAATTAATAAGTTAATGATATCATTAACTTCCATAGATGAGGTCCATGTTTGGTTGCATAACCTTCTTAAAGTGACACACAAAATAACCTTCTATAGGTATCCCATATACTAAAATCATTGAATTATGTTGTTTTTATAACAAAACTACAAAAGTAGAGACTTCCTGGATTAGTAGATCAAGACAACCAGAGACCACAAAAAGTACAATATACAAATTAATGCTATAAGTGCCCCAATTCAACACTTGTTTGAATTAAACAAAGTTTATAATTCCAAAATCTCCCACATTTCACAGCTTCAAAACCAATTTGATCCAAAAAGCCCCCCAAAAATTTGATCAATGGGGTACACAACATACCCCACCCACATGGAAAACACTTACTTGCTCTTCTATGAACTAATAAAGGAGTTGAAAAACAAACATTTGTATCAAATGTAGATTTAAGTGAGTCTAAAAGGAAAATGGGTCTTTAATAAAATGTGATTTTGGTTTAAAGTTGAAGATAAAGAAATAGATACCGCAAGAATGACCACAGTGCAGATAGCAATGGTGGAGAGGAACACCACTTGTTCATGGTTGCAACACTTCTTCAGCTCCCAATTGGGCATTTTCTGGTGCAACCCCGCTTCTACAAGCTTGTACACAGAGATTGACTTAAAGATCGATTGATCAAATCGATTTCTCTTACGATTGGGCGCGCTCTAGCATGTGTGTGTTTGTGTGTGTATGTGTGTGTGTGTGTGTGTGTGTGTGTATGAGAGAGAGAGAGTGGGATTCCTGATCTCTGTCTCTGTTCTCACTCTGGTCTCAGTAGAGGAAGTGAGGAGAGAGGTTGAATGGAGACATCAAGTGCTATAGACTCTCTTCACTGCTGTATTTTCTTAATAGATGACATACTTGGGAATTTCACTGGATAACAAGTTGTACAAGACATCCAAGTAACCAAGGTTTATCAAATTTGCAACTTCCATGGGAAGCACACCACTCAATTGGTTTTGGGATAGGTCTAGCAATATAGATAAGGATGAGACAGAAACAACTTGTTTTGGTAACCTTACTGTTTTTAGAAAGAAGCAACATTTGTAAATTACTACAATTCCCTAGGCTCCGAGGAATGCTTCCATGAAAATTATTGATTCTTAAAGCAAATATACTTAACAAACTCAGATTTCCTAGGGAAGAGGGAATGTTACCAGACAATGGATTGTTGTCGAGATTCAATCTGTGTAGAGTTTGAAGCTTTCCAATCTCACTTGGAATAGTACTAGTGAATTGGTTAAGCTGCATATTCAAAATCTACAAGCCAACAAGATTTACCATCCCAGATGAAATGCTTCTGAATATATGATTGTGGTCTAGATTCAAATATTCAAGGTTTCTCGAGAGATTACCGATGTATTCTGGATACTTGCAGCCAAAATTGTTGATGTTCACTTCCAAATAATGTAAATTGGTGGCATTGATCAAAGTAAAGATAAAGTTCAAGTCATCAGAACTCATATTCACATGCATTGTAATATTCTGCAAATTTTCTGTCCGCGGAAGACAAATCCTTCCTCAGAGCTGCCTCTTCCCTCTCAATCTCCTCAATAATTAACTTTACCCTATTTAGATGATCAGAGAGAAGCACACAAGCTACAGGTAAATGAACTCCTCAAAAATTCATTTCTGATTATTAAAGTACACACAAAGCAATTGATATATGGCTGCTTTAGGCAGTTTGGAAAAGTAGGTATAGACAGTTTCAAGAAAGAATAACCACCTCGACATCTGAAGAAAACTTTCGTAGTTCATGTTTTAAGAATAAAAATAAGAAAGGGGGAAAAATCTCTTCCATCTTGAAGGATAAGATTTGAGACTCATGAGTCTATATTTGAGTATCCATTTTGAACTGAAATGACAAAAGGAAAAACAACAGTAACCGTTTCCAGAACAAGAAGGTCTGAGTGAATAAAATTCAAGAACAATTTTTGTAATGCTCTCCACTCAAATGAAAAACTTGAAAAAGAAAAAATAATAAGTGAAAGAAGGATAAAAAAATGAAGAAACAACTTTAAAGCTTAAATTTTTTAAAGTGTCTCTTTGCACAATCTGATCTACAAAAGCTTCAAATCATGTTCAGCTAAATGGCAACAAGCATACACAACATGGTACCATCATGACAAGTATATAGACCATACCCCTTTATATTGAAATTTCAAACAATCAAAAAAAAGTACATCATCATAGCCTTGACATTCAGAACAGACCTTGCACCATTAATAATGACAAAATGAAAAAATAACACAAACCTTTCTAGAAGCCGAACACTTGAACTTTGATTACCAGATGAAGTGTCTGCAACACCAAACAATGGGTAATATTATGCACAAAATATCTCTTCCTCTGTGCACAGAGAGAACATAGAGTAATTACGACTAACCAATATCATCTATTTCAAAGGCATCTGCTAACTTATCACATTTAGCTTTTAAACAACTGTAACGCCCTCATAACTAAACCCATCATAACATGCATTCACGATAAATAGAAGAGATTTCATATTACAATCATCAGAGTATTCTTACAAGAGGTATTACATGTTGACAATAAAAGTAAATGCCCTATAGGCTTACAACTTTTCAAGTCAACACTTGGTTACAAAAAGGAGAGTACTGACTCTTCACAAATAAGCTCTTGGCTTGATATACATGTAATACAACAAAACAACAAAAAGAGTCTGACAGCCTTAAGCCTTCCAAGCTACGTCCTTGGAGGTGGCATAACACCTGTACCTAAAAATGATGTCCCATATAGGGTGAGCCAACGCCCAGTAGAGATATGCTAAACATAATACGAGCAATAACTAAAACATTAGCACTTGATAAATGTTTAACTCATATAGACCAACAAACTGTACAATCCAGTTCCATAATCCTTCACTTAACAAAACTCAACTTATAAACACGGCTCAGAACCTGGCCAAACAACTTAAGCGAGACTACATCTCAAGCCAACAATACTTCAAACTGCCATTTCACGGAAATTGCGTCCGCGGGATTCGGCACCCATGTGTAATTATTTTCTTATGGCCATTTTACGAAAATTTCATCCGCGAGACTCGGCACCCATCAATAGATGTTTTCGGATTGCCATTTTACGAAAATTGCGTCCGCGGGATTCGACACCCATGTATAGATATTTTTGAATTGCCATTTTACGAAAATTTCATCCGCGGGATTCGGCACTCATGTATAATTATGTTTGAATTGTCATTTTACGGAAATTTCATCCGCGGGATTCGACACCCATGTATTCAAATACTCATCATATACAATGACAACCAATACACCAATTGATTAGTTTTAATTCACCTAATCATCATGCAGTGTCTACAACAATCAAGACTATCCTCCACCGATAGCCCAAAACAGTTATTTTTAAATAGATAATAAATGCACCAACAGATAAATTATCAACATTTTCAAAGGTGAGTGATTAATGAATCCAACTCCACCATTCTACTACATAATGAGCCAATTTCATTATTTCCAACTCAATTTCATGTTTCCATCATTTCCCAAATTAATTACATGGATTAATTTGTCATAACAATTTAGGGTTTTTTTTCCCTTTTCTCAATGTTGACCCAAAGGCCCAAAATAACTTCAATAACAACAATACTATCATTTTAAGACCCAATTACATATTTAGGAGTCAAAATAACAAAAAAAACCCCTCCTTTTTCATTTGAAACCCTAACACCCCAAATCACCTAACTTCAACATTAAATCAAAATGACTAAATACTTATGTCAAAGATCATAAAAATGAGCAGTTATCCCTACCTCAAATTCGGAGCTCAAAGGAAGAAGATGAAGAAATTCGAAGTGCTCCAAACCCCAATAATGGTGGTTTTCGAAAAGTAAGAGAGAGAAAGGAAATCATAAAGTGATCCGAAAAGTCAAAACTCGGACTGATATAAAAGTCGCCCCGCTCGAGCGTCAGACACAGACTCACGCTCGAGCTTCAAAAGCGCCACTCGAGTGTCGATTGCACACTTCCAGAAGTTTTGCAGACCATGGTCCCTGCTCGAGCGTCAACTCCCCGCTCGAGCGGAGGAACAAAATCAAAGGGTCATGCTCGAGCGTCAAAACTCCCGCTCGAGCGTACGAAGACCTGCAGAGAAAAATACTGGGAGATGAAAATTCACGCTCGAGCGTCAAAATGCCCGCTCAAGCAGAGAAGCAACAACAAAGGGCCCGCTCGAGCGTCAAAAGCCTCACTTGAGCGTGAAGGCCAAATTCTGGGCATCAACTTTTGGTTTCTAAGCACAACCAACCTGTTTCAAACTTGCCCAACACAACCCAAGACTCAAATATAAAGAGCAAATGATGGAAATGAGAATGAGACAACAACACAACTGCGGAACCTAGTCCGGAATACAATAATTAAAGGAAGGAAAAACCGGGATCGCTATAACAACGATCAATTTCACGGAAAAGTGGCATCTGGTACTCAGCCATGCCCTATAATTAAAAGGAAACTATAAGATTTTTTTCCCCCCTTCTATATCAACATTATTAAAGGGTTTACTCATAAGAACAAGAAGAGAAATAAAAATATATATATTTTAAAAAATACACGTGATAATTTGTCTAAAACATGTTTTATCCTATCACCATATAAAGAATCCTACAATGGATAATGGTGCTTGTTGGAGCTGAGTTTGCCATAAATAAGCATGCGTTATTCCAAGGTATCTACTAGGAACACCACCAACTCCAGGTTCAGCTGCATCAGTAATGCTGCTAGAGAGTGCATTAGTTGCACCGCCAGTGGTGCTAATTGCAGAAACTAGAGATTTTTCTCTAGAAATACTGGCTTTAAAACTAGCATATTTTCCATGAGATGAATGTATGTGGCATTGTTTTAACAGGGTGATTGTCCTAAGCTATTGATTTGCAAAGATCAACTAAAATGCTCACATGATCCCTGTATATTATATCAGCCCTTTGTTTTACTTATTCCAGCCGCATCCTACTTGGTATCTATCATGAACTCCAATTCGAAGATCAATTAAAGTTTTGATTTGTTTGGTCTGAGACAGTTCCTAGTGAAATAAAACCACAATGTGACAGCTCCTTCTAGAGATGTAGCAAGAAATTAGTGTTATCTTGTGAGCAAAATTAATATGGCAAAAATAGTAAATTCTAGGCCATGAGAAGAAACTGCAGCTTACCTTCTTAGCTCGTTTTATATGGCAACTACCTAACCACCTGGTAACAGGGCCTTGTAGACAGTTCCAAAGCCTCCTTCACCAATCTTCATTGATGGTGAAAAATTTTGGATGGCTCTAGCAACCTGACTCAGATTTAGATAAATTGATCCCAAGAGGAAACTGAATCCACTGCAAGAACAATGTGGTCTATTTATCAACAGGCATTAAAATTCGCCAAGCCAAAATGTATAAGTACTAAGATCATGAAAAGAAAGTGAAATTTTTTTAAAAAATAAAGTTGTTTATAGGGCATGAGGAAGCCAAATAGAGCCAACATTTTGACTCTTTGAATTACCTTATACAACATTTTGCTATCTGGCCTTACAGGTGATGTCCAAAAATAAAATTCCTTGTATGGTTCCTCTAAAACATGATTGTTTCCAATTTTAGTTCTGTGTCATTCCTTTGACAACTCCAGAGAATATATCATCAACTTCTTCTCGGAAAATGTTTTTAAAAGCCCAACCACTTCAGTCCCAGAATCTCCTTGTTAAGAATAATATTGTAATACTGAACATCTATATGTTAGATTTCCAATAAATTATTTCTTCATAGAAAAAAAAAATGCCAAGCACGTAGAGGTGATAAATGAGGAGCTTGAGGAAATAAAAACTTTACATATCAAAAGGTTAGAAAAAATGTAACTAAGATTTCAGGTAAGCTAAATAGAGACATAGTGGGGGGAAAAAATGAAGAAACCAAACATTTATATATATATATACGTATACACACGCACACACAACACAAATAAACAATAGATCTCAATAATCAAATCGAGAGAGAAGGGAAGAAAGAGATTAAGAGAGAGAGAGAAATCAATGCCTCGCGGTGAAACTTCGAAAACGAGCGAGAGAACTTCAAAATCGAAATTGCTCTGAGATGAATCTCAAAATCGAAATTGCTCTGAGACCGATCTGAGAAATCAAGCACAGCCTCTCTTGAGATCACTTCCTCTGCGATCGAAACCAACCCCTCTTCTCTCTTCGTAATCTCCCAGAGCTTCAGAGCTTCAGATCGATATCACAGAGAACAAAGGATGAATCGAGAGAGAGAGAGAGAGAGAGAGAGAGTGGAGCTTCAGAGCTTCAAATCGAAATCGCTCTGATGGATCTGTATGAATCTCAAAGATAAATCTCAAAGCAAATCGCTCTGAATCGAAATCGGTCTCAAGGTATAGAAGCAATTGGGGGTGAGCAAGAGAGAGGCGTGAGGATTCAAAATAATGATTTACAAAGCCTTAACAAGTATTCTGAGATTAAAAAATAAGCGCGTGAGGCACGACGTATTTGGAGGTGTTTTTAAACGCCTCCTATTCCAAAACGGTGTCGTTTTATTAAAAGAATATGTGACGTTTTTATAAAACGTCGTTAAATATGAATAAAAGTTACGTTTAAAAAAACGTCGTTAAAAAAACGCTGCCTAAATCCATTTTTCTTGCAGTGAATGGAGGCTGCAGTTTGGGCTAGAGATTTTCTAGGGTTTTTTCAACCTAATTACCCTATTGTAGGGTGGCTGTATTAATGGCCTGCCATTTATTTTGATAGTTGGTTGTTGGAAGGCAAATGTAATTGTTAGCTCTCCCGTTTGTGTATAAATAGGGAGAGATATGAGCTGAGTTGATATAGAGATAAGGAGAGTGAAGAAAAAAGAGAGAGTTGTGAGAAGTGTATGTGAGTTGTGAGTTGAGTTGAGAGAGTGAGAGACTCCTTCTCCTCTGTTTATTATTTATTTTGTTCACAATAAAATTTTCTCTTTTTCTCTCCCGTGGACGTAGACATTGGGCCAAACTACATAAATATTTGTGTCCCATTTGTGATTGTAATTGTGTGTTGATTGATTGCTAGATGTGTATAACCCCAACAGTAATTAGTGTAAGTTGGTGCACCTTGTAAGCTGATCTTGCTTGGCCGTCATAGATGTCATTCTTACTAACATTGTAGAAAATTTGAGGAAATTGCACAAAAGCAAGAGAACGGGATATTTCGGGATCAAGATGGAAGCACATTGATTGTCTAGCTAAAGTTGGATCATTGCAAAACATGTCACAATCTAATACTAGTACATAAGGGCCATTGCTCATAATCCCAGAAATTCGTAGCTACAAAAGCAAAATGGCACTCCTTATCATTTTAAAATAAATAATACTTACATATGTACTCATATATATGTTAGAGAGAGAGAGATCAAACATAATACGTACAAGAGCATTGAGGGCTCTAGCCTTGAAACACTGAGGGTAAATTGGTCTTTTTTCACAAGACACATAGACAATAAGAGGAAAGAAATTAGGATTTTATTAGCGGAGGGGTTAAAAAAAAAAATCACCATATATATATAAACACACATATATGTACAATAAGATATATAAATTTAAATATCATAGAAGCAATTTCTAATAAGATAAAAAAAAAATTTGGTGTAAAATAGAAAAAGAAGATAAGATGAGAAAATAATAAGATATATATTTTTTTATACTGAGAGTCCATTTTATGTATAAAATGATATATATATTTTTAAAATGTTTTGACAAATAATATTTTTCATAAAAATAAGGGTTCATAGTCTCCTAGTTCCATCCCAGACGGCATACATAACCAAATAAAATTGATATCCATCCATCAATTCCATCTTATTCTTATACTATGTAAATATTAAAAATAGAAAATAAATATAAAATTCATTGTACTCTATTAACTTTCGTAGCTGAACAATTTTTACCAGCTTTCAACTTAAATTGCCTAGCATCATTTATTTTTTCCCTTCGGAGAATTTGAGTTTGGGAATTGGCTGCCAAGAATATACGTAATAAGGCGAAGAAGTTCCGTACCTTAACGCTGTGTTTAATTGGAGTATTTGAAAAAAAAAAATTAGAAAGAAAAATAGAAAAGAATGGAAAATATAAATAAAATATACCTATATTTGACCTAATTTCACACACATTTTTTCTTTCTTTTTTTAAATTCCTTTCTAAATCTCCCAACTAAACACAGCATAAAAATTGTAATACAATTTATGAAATTTTTAGTTTGCTAAACATACCTCAACATGAGGAGGTCGATCATGCACCATAAAATCTTCTGTCCCGCTACCTCTACTAAATTTCTCCACATTTTTCTTGAATGCTTCATACTTCGACTGCACAATACAAATTAAGGTCAAGTTTGGCAAATTAAAAAAAAGTCAAAAAGTCAAAAAATTACTCAAAAAGTTAAAAAATTATCACTATTCACCAAAAGTCGAAAAGTACGGCTGCACAACTCCCAATCCTAATTTTCCCTTACACACTAATTTATACAATTTTTTAATACACATTTTTTCATAAAAAATCAAAAAGTTAACCCAAACATCCATATTTTTTCCCTAAACTTTTTAGTCCAAAAAGACAAAAAATACACTTATTTAGGACACTCCAAACAACCCCTAAATCATTTAATGCTATAAATATATTTATATATGCAAAAATTAATAATGTGACATGATGTGGACTACGATTTTTTATTTTTTCGGTTAAAATCATTAATATTTGTACTATACAAAATAAAATAAAAGATATTGCATAGAAAAATTTGATGGGTTTAAATTTACAAGCCGCCAGCTGCCCCCTCAAATCTTGTAAAATTACTTAGCAACCTATAGTTTTGAAATGCTTTTTTAAATTTGCCCCATCTGAAATTTTACTTATGCGATAATCTTTTATATATAACCCTTCCTTTTCTCTTTAATTTTTTTATTTATTTTATAAATTCAGTAATTTGTCCCATTTAAATGTTTACCTTTATTTGTCACATTTGATTTAAATAATAAAATATGAGAAACATATAACCTAAGACCAAAGTTTTTGTTGTGGTTCGAAACACAAATATCAATAGCAAAACACACCTGTTACTCAATCTTTTAGTTTGATTCAAATTTTATTTTGATTCATGTTGTTTTAAATAAGCAATTTAATTTTTTGTGTTCTAAGTCTAATTTCAATTTGATCATTCTGCCCAAATTTTTATTAATTTTTCCTATGCGTACACCTTAGGAGAGTGACAAATATTTTTAAATTGTTAATTTTAACTTTCAACTTGAACGAAAAAATCAAATTGAAACTAGATTTAAAATATAAAAATCAAATTACACAATTTAAAACAATAGGAACCGAAGTAAAATTTGAATAAGAACAAATATTAAAAGTGTAATTTTTCCCATGTTACATGTATTGTATTTTTTTTTTCTTTTTAGTATATTGGAGGACGTAGCCACTTATTGTTTAAGATGTGCTATATAAGTACATTTTTTGACTTTTTAGCTAAAAAAATGGAGAAACAAATATGTATGTTTAGGATAACTTTTTGACTTTTACAAAAAGATGTATAATAAAATATCGTAGTAAAATCGAAATGACCATTCTACCCTTGTTGCCTTTTTTACTTTTAACTTTTTAACTTTTCGGTAGTTGAATTCACCCTCTAGCCTTCCCCCAAATAGTATAGACTTTTTGATTTTTTTAATAACTTTTTGACTTTTGTAGATACTCCAAACCAAGTTGAAACAAAAAAATTTAAGTGAAATGGAACTTCAAAAAAAAATAAGTAAAAATTGCGAATATATAAAAGGAAGTAAAATAATTACAAAAATATGAAAATACAAATGGTAGCACACGAACACTTAAAACACACCCATTGCCCTGCCTTGCTGTCGTCCGTGGGCAGCATGCCCCACACCTAAATATTTTGAAGGAAGAAGTAATACGTTCAACTTATTAATAGTACTAATCTAAAAATTAAAAAATTACTTTTCCCAATCAAAATAAAATATAATCATGATGAATGGCTTGTTTGAATATTTGATTATTTTAGTCGACTTTTTAATTATTTTAACCTAATTAAAAAATCTTATTTGAGATGATTTTTAAGTTTTTTTGTAGTTAATTTGATGGTTAAAAAAAAATTAAAATTTGAATATGATATTTTGTCTTATTAATTATTTTAATTTTTATTAACATACCAAAAAGTCAACAATTACGGCTTCTCTCTACTTTTTGCACAGCTTTTCGTAATTAGTCAAAAAGCCATCCCAAACATACAAGTTTTTTTTACCTACCTTTTTAGCTAATTAGCCAAAAAGTTACTAAATTAGTCTGTTCCCAAACGAGGCCTTAGTGGTTTAAGGTTTAATTATTGGACCAAAATCAAAAAGTTTAATCTACCTTGATGTCTTCCTCCTCCGCCATGAATTCATGATTCCGGAAGAACACGATCATCGTCACCAAACGATGAAAAGTATCTTTAAGGAGATAGAGTCTTGATTCCATATTTCCTACAAAATGGAATCCAAGACCTACCAAACAAACAAGCTTCTTTCAAACCATACAAAGTCAACGGCAAACCACCATCATCAGAAAGATACATCGCCAGCTTCTCCAGCGGGTAGTCAAGCGCCACCGCCGACAACACCGTGTTCATTACGTCCACCGTTGGCTCCTTCTTTGGGTCGGCAATGCAAATGAACACATCGATCCCCGACAACTCAGGGTTGCCGGGGAGGTTTTCCAGGTGGACGATGGGAGTCACCGGCCGCCACCAGAATGCTTGTGTTATGATCCAGATGGAGGTGAACATGAGTTCGGAGGTGGTGATGAGACACCATAAGAATATGGATATTTCATGGGCATGGTGGAAGAAGTATGAAATTTTGTAATAGAGGGGATAGTATTGTTGGAACAATCTTCTATGCAAATAAAATAAATTAAAATTAAATCCAACAAAATAAAATAAATAACTTACAGAATTTATTTTATCGAACCGAATAAAAAATAAAAGACCAAGTCGAGTGTGTGACACTCTGTCCTTAAGACAGATTCGTCCCGCTACGGTGCTTACGGTTATGTGGCGTTTATCTCCCAGGATACAATGATCTTCACAAATTTGTAGTAGCACTCCAAACAAATTTGTCCGACGAACTAGAACCTTGTGTTCTATTACTCTCTGAATTTTTCTTTAAATAACTAATATGAAGAATAATGCAAACAAAGCAAGAAATGAATTGGATAGATGATATTTTGGATGTTTTTTTGGATACCCAAGACTACTGGAACAACCTTCAATTTATAGGCAAAATACCTGACCCGAATAGGTACATACAAGAGGTGAACAAGTGTAAATTTGAATTGAAAAGATACTGTTTGAACTAAACAGATCTGTTGGCAGTTTTAGATCTGTAACTGTCAGTTTCGGATCTATAACTGCTGGGCAGTTTTTCATATTGTTAAAAACAGTTTAAATATGTTGTGGAATCAAATGAACAGGTGCAATTCAAACTATAGACAGATAACTGTAGTAGTTTTTATCTGTTGCAACTGTTGGACAGATTTAAATCTGTCTGGGCAGATTCAATCTGTCTAGGTGCAAACAATTTTGGACTGTTTAGACTGTTTGAATTTCCGACTGGAAACTGACAGAAAACTTGAATTCAATTTTGAATTAAATTCCTGCAATAAATTTTCGAAAAAAATCAAGTGAATTTTGTCCAAAAAATTAATGTTAGAACCGACCCGACCCACAACCCACACCCGCACCTGGCACGGCATGGCTTGGCCGGACGGACGGCAGTAGCGAGCGTGTGTGGTGGTTTGGGCTAAGGTTTATTTTGTCCATAACTCTTCCCTTCTACAAACTTGGGGTGCCCCTTGGAGCCCAACCCAAGGTTGAACACCTAGAGCTTATATACTCACAAAAGCTCTCTTCAAGTTTCAATGTGGGATAACCCATATAAGGAAACCCACATTTAATTCTTGAATTTGTTTAATTGCATGAACCCAAAAACGACGTCAAGTTCCCATTCACTCATAAATGGTTTTTGACGAACCGTCTTCACCGTGTGACTTACCATGCAGTAAAGAACACATCACCTCTTCGAACCTACCCCAAAAAACGTTTGGGGCCCATTCAATTTTGGGCTCAAAGTTGGCCCAAAATAAGCCTTATAAACCAAATTTTCCAACAATCCTCCACATGAATGAAATTTGACGAAAAGAAAATGCAACAATATGATCTAAATACAAAGAGTATAGAAATTGAAAATATTCTACAAAGGATAGATAGCTTTTGGCTTTGAACCTTCCCTTGTGAGACACTATCGAATTTACTAGCTAACTAGTGAACATGATGTCTTGAACTGTTCAGCCGTTTGTGTAAACCAAGACAACAGAACTCACACAGTATATCCCCAGGCACAATTTAGTTTTCACTATTGTGTTCATTTTGGCTCTGAACAACCTGGTCTTTCATGAGTGCTCTAGAGAATTGTAACCCTTCACAAATCTCATAGAACCGACCCAATTCACACTCACATAGGTGATTCTTATGAAGAGTATCCTGCTATACTCCACTAGGTTTACCTAGATATAAGAATCATTAAAATTTTACTTAATCTAAAAACGCTGCAGATATCACTATTTCATCCTAGAAATTGGTAGAAGTTGGACTGCCCAGTGATCCTTCTGAGTCATTCACAACTCGGTTGTCCCTTTGAACCTAGATCTTGGGATCTCCAGTCAACTAGGTTAGGTTTCCCTTGTGGTAACTCTTATTTAATAGGCTTAAGTCTCATTCCCCTCGATGAATTTTCAACTAGCTCTCGTATTAACCCTTTGGTTAGTGGATCCGCTATGTTGTCTTTAGACTTCACATATTCAATGGAAATAATTCTATTAGAGAGTAGTTGTCTCACGGTGTTATGTCGACGATGAATGTGTCGTGACTTACCATTATACATATAACTCTGTGCTTTACCTATTGCTGATTGACTATCGCAATATATGCATATAACAGGCACCAGTTTTGGCCATATTGGAATATCTTCAAGGAAGTGGCGAAGCTATTCTGCCTCTTCCCCTACTTTGTCTAAAGTTATGAATTTTGATTTCATAGTAGACCTAGCAATGCAAGTTTGTTTGGAAGATTTCCAAGATACAGCCGCCTCACCAAGAGAAGGACATACCCACTAGTGGACTTTGAGTCTCTAGTATCCGATATCCAATTTGCATCATAGTATCCTTCAAGTACTGCTGGATATCTAGTATAATTCAGCCCAATGTTACGAGTAAATCGGAGATATCTTAGAACCCTTATAATTGCTTTACTCGTATATCTACTTAATTTACTTACTGCATAAACTATATTCGGGTGAGTGCAGTTCATCAAGTACATTAAGCTTCCAATAATTTGGGCATACTCTAATTGAGAAATACTTTCATGTACATTCTTAGATAGAAATAAATTAACATCTACAGGTATTCTAGCAAGATGATCATCATCTTTACTGAATTTGTCAAGTATTTTCTCAATGTAATGAGATTGTGACAAAGCATATCCTTCTGATGTTTTGGTAATTTTCATACCAAGAATTACATCAGCAATACCCATGTCCTTCATATCAAAATGTTTATTTAACATTTTCTTGGTAGTTTTAATCATATCATTATTACTACCTATGATGAGCATATCATTCACATAAAGACATACAATGACATAACCTTTGTCTGTATTTTTAATATAAACACATTTGTTACACTTCTTAATTTTAAATCCATTTGACATCATTGCCTTATCAAATTTCTCATGTCATTGTTTTGGTGCTTGTTTTAAACCATATAATGATTTAACCAATTTACACACTTTCTTTTCTTTCCCTGGAACAGAAAACCCTTCTGGTTGTTCCATGTAAATTTCTTCATTTAACTCACCATTTAAGAAAGCGGTTTTAACATCCATTTGATGAATTTCTAGATTGTATAGAGATGCAATGGCAATTAACATTATAATGGATGTTATTCTAGTAACCGGTAAGTACGTGTCAAAGTAATCAAGATTTTCTTTTTGTCTAAAACCTTTGACCACAAGTCTTGCCTTGTATTTGTCAATTGATCCATCCGCTTTCATTTTTCTTTTGAAAATTTAGTTATACCCAAAAGGTTTACAACCTGGTGGCAAATCCACCATTACCCAATTGTGATTTTGTAAGATGGATTCAACTTCACTGTTGATAGCTTTTTTCCATACAGGAGCTTCAGGACTGGACATAGCTTCCTTAAAAGTTAAAGGCTCATTTTCTAACAAAAATGTTAGAAAATCTGAACCAAAAGATTTTAAGGTTCTAGCATGTTTACTACGCCTAGGTTCCTCTTCATTAACTTGATTTATCTCTTGCTGTTGATCTTGATTATGTTCTAGATCCTGACTAGTAATAGCATCATGAGATATTTTATTGTTACTAGTCTCTTGGCCAGTCTTATTAGGAAATACATGTTCAAAGAAAGATGCATTCCGACATTCAATAATAGTATTTACATGCATTTCGGAATGTTCTGATTTATGAATCAAAAACCGATATGCACTACTATTCTTGGCATAACCAATGAAAATGCAATCAATGATTTTAGGACCTATCTTAGTCTTTTTAGGATTAGGAATAGCCACTTTAGCCAAACACCCTCACATTTTTAAGTATTTATAGGATGGTACTCTCTCATGCCACATTTTATAAGGTGTTTGATTCACTTTCTTTCGGGGTACTTTATTTAAAATATAATTTGCAGAAAATATTGCTTATCCCCACAAGTTCTGAGGTAATCTAGAACTTATTAACATGGCATTCATCATTTTTTTTTGTAGACGTCCCCGAACGCCCCGGGGAGGAACAAGTCCCCCGTTCCGTTCGATATTGGGCTCACTACAGTTCAGGACTCTAAAATTGTCACGGTTCTAAGTCTGAACCAAAGAGTCCAAATCCGGCAAATCGTTTTGAGAAAACAGATTTTTGAAAGAAGTGCCAAACATGGACTGCTTTGCCAGATACAGAGTCGCCACCTAAATATTTTATTTTGGGAAATTTAGGAAACCCTGACTCGGTGCCAAAAGGCCACGCGTCCGTCATCACCAAAGTTGCCTCGGCTCGGGAACTTGGGTACGATTGGGGAAGGTCACTTCGTGAGCACCCCCGTTCGCCCGATCAAAGATCGGCCTCTACTAACCATGATATCTATTTTTGAAAACATTATGCGTTCTTATTCCGGTTATTAGCCTAGATTTACTATGTGATGCGCACAGCATACAAGTATAGACTGGATCGTCTGAATTAGAACAAAATATTTCATGTTTATTTTTGAAAGTGGTTTGATGGTGCTACCCGCAAATAGGCTAAAACGTGGATTTGCCACCCTCAGGTGGGCTTTAGAAAACATGATTTTGCCACTATCTAGTGGGCTTAAAACACACAGTGAATGAATTGTTCCAATCCCAATAACCCAACCTTCACCCACAGGCATTCAGGCAGTTATATCACATAAGCAATTAGCCTCATGGTAAGCATGCTATCATGGCAGTCACTCACACACATGCAAGGATGCTAAAGCATAAAACTTACCGAGTACTCCAAGCCAAAACAGAAGCTAATTAGAAATCCATGCATGATCCTAACTATACAGAAATGCCTAATGCAACACATGCAAAAATACAACTATAGCAGGCTCGGCTATTCTAAACATGGCATATGAAATGCTACAGCTAGCATGTATTCTACTTGAAATTGAAAATACGATGCAGTTACTATGATGCGCCGA